GACTCCCTATAATATTGGAATGGTGTGATCGAAATTGCTTTCCGCCCTTTGATCGATGTAGTCCACTTCCTATATAACAACCTGCCTGCACGTACAAACAGACAGCGAGACAAACATATTATAGGGAACATTCCTATAATATATATATATATATGCTTAAGAGTGTTGCAAGTAAACTAACAAAATGAATATATCTGCAATCCAATACAATGGTGGATATAAAAATAACTGTATGCGTGTACGTTTGCTTAATTCTTTTCTTCCTTACAAACCTTAGTCATACGAATGATTTGCTTGCTTATTTTTGTTTATTTTGTGGAGCTGTTTGTTTGTTTATTTACGAACATAAACGAAAATGTAACAACAATATGTATGAACTGCGTCAAAGCTATATACGTATGGTAAGAAAAACCCATTGATATACATATGCAATTTATAATTTTACATATACATATATCTATAAAATTAATTTGTTCACACTCTTGTTTACACAATTCTCAAATTCTAAATATGTATTGTAAAATATTTAAAAGAAGACACAAGTATTAACATAAAGACACTTTATTATGGATAAATTGAAAGAATAAGTGCCATTAAATGCGCTCTGTTTAATATTGCGTCAAAGAAAAAGTTCGCGGCGTTTTCTTATTAAAATTCAAAAATATTTCTCATATATATTTCAAATGAACCGTTATTAACCCAAATACGTGATCGATAATCTTTTCGAATTTTTATGATGAAACGATTACGCCATCGTTTTGCTAGCACTACGGGTATGTCGAGACGAAAAACTGCATCAAGTGTGAAGTTTTACTCAGCGGTAGTCGGAAAAATTGAAATCCTGACAAAACAATAGATTCTGTCTCACTTGTTACCAAATCTCTATGCGCGCATAATATAGAGAGTTCTTCCCATTCCGCCTAAACAGCTATAAGTAACGGTTTGAATTATCAACTTGTTGCTGTAATAGTCGCAAGTACATAAGGTTTATAACGTTGAATAGCTTTCATGAATTTTAAGATATGCCTTGCGGGGTTAAGAATGCATTTATTGAATTCCAATGGTTTATGGGAAAAGTTAGAGCGAAAACAAAACCCAAAAAGATGTTAAATTAAATAGATGACATCCTTGCTGGCGTTCAAATATTACCAAGAGATGTTTGGAAAAGATCCAAAAGGATTGAAAATGGCTACCATAAGAATTAACTGAACATGTCCTTTCGAAGAGTTTCAATAAACGCGGATTCATTGTTTGCTAAGCAAAAAACGACGTGCTTTCTGCGGCGTATTAAGACTGGCGACGAAAATTTGGTGTACTGCGACACACCCAAGTGTTGTCAACGACACACCGTTAAAGTTTGGATGGAAAGTTCTGCCGCACGCAACGTAGCCACCAGATATGCCGCGTTCTGATTACCACTTGTTCAGATCGATGTAGCATAACTCGGCTGGCACGTCTTGGTTGCGAAATGCTAAAGAATTGCAAAAGTGGGTCGAAGATTGAATCGCTGCCAAATCAAAATCGTTCTTTCGAAACGTTATTGCCATGTTGCCAGAAGGATGGGAAGAAGTTGTAGAAAATGGATGGAAAATATTTCCATTTATATATCTGTGAAAATATCATTTTTTTTTTTTCTTAAGAGAAGACTAGTATCTTGGCTATTGAGTTAAAAGTATGGGAATGTGATTTAATCCGGAAAACAAAAGGCTAAAGTAATAATAAATTTTAAACGATCTACAAACGGTACTAAATTATTAATGTACCTTAGGTCTGAGCGGTTAATTTCGGTGTTCGGAGGTTGATTAATCTATCATTGCCGAACTCTTTTATAAACTGTTGTCAAAAGACGTGCATTTTGAATGGATGGACTAGCAGGAGAATTTATTTTAACAGCCTTCGGTTTTTGCAAAAGAATCTCTCACAATTTTCTTATTCGTAACGTAATTTTATTAAATATAATTAAGCAGTCACTCGCAACTGATTGCAAAATAACTTTCCCTTCTTGCTTGCACAATTCAATTTAATATCTTTCACAGATACATATAATCAAACAAATGAACAGTTTTACTCATCTAAAACTCTATTGAAAATTCTTCGCGCATCCCTTATTGGAAACTTTCAATTAAGTAAGTTAAGTTCAAGTTCTTGTACTTTTATTCTGTTTGCTCGTAGATTTATGAATTTTGTTCAGTTGTTCAGTTGTTTTTTTCTTTTTTTTTTTTTTTTTTTTCATAAAAAATCGTGCATGAAATCGGCCATTAAATTAACATAAATTCATTGGCAGATTAGAATCTAAAATATAAAAAAGCTATAAAGTAAGTTGACGCGTCGTATTGCAAGCTATTATTAATTAGTCTAAAAATATAAATTCATAAACGAATTTTATAGCATAACAATTGTTTTTATAAGCAGAATTGCTTTCTTAGTTTTCTACATTTAATGATCTAACATTAAGATATGTCCGCGATGATTATTATTGTTATTGTCAGTTTTTCTGTTATTCAAATTTTTGTAAGCAAACTTTACATTTCGTTTGCATTATTCATTTACGTTTTAGTGATTTGCCAGCAAAATTTTACAACTTGAAATTTCTATGTAAGAAAAATATGTTTATTAGTCATTGATAATGCAGCGAACAGATGCTACTTTTTGTTGCATTTCTCTTTTCCTCCCTCGTTTCATCGTAAACGATAAAAACTTTTAAGAACACTTTTTATCATCAACAACTTTACATAAATAATTCAGAACTTCCTACTTTCATCAAATTTTCAAAAAAAAAAACGAAAGTTATTAACTTAATCACTGCGTTTGTAATATTGAGAACAAAAAAATTTATTGCCGACCATTCAGAGTTACAAATTGAGAAACGAATTCTTCCAGATGTCCTTCACACCTGTTTTCTAGTTCACACACTTACTACACAAATAAAAACGAAATTTAGATATGTGCCTTCATTTTGCAAACGGACATATTGACCTGCATACTTAAAGATGAATAATTTTTTAAATGTCAAAGTCACTGCTTGTTCTAGCTGACGGCAATCACAAATTTACCGCAATTGATTCCGGAATTTTTATCGCACACAACGTGGATATTAATTTACATACGTAAATGATATTACATAAGATTCGTCCATTTGGGCATTGTTCATAGTCTCAGTTAAATATACAATTTCAGCTTAGCACATACATTCTCGATTATGTTGGCCGTCTATATATAAAACGGACAGCCAGATAGACAGAAAATAATTGTGAATCAATCAATACAATAAGAAGTGGATGCATCTCAAGTCCTTCTGGGTGTTGTATAAATTTGCACAAAGTTAATACACTCCTGAGCCGGAAGTAAATAAGCGCCACATGCATTCTATCAGTGTACGAAGGTTCTCTTAAGTAACAAAAATCCCCGAAAATAAGTTTTTTAGCTCTGTCTTCCCGAAAATCTTCACAGGATGTTTCAAAAGAAAAATATTTCAGAGAGAATATTTCAGATAAACACATTCAAGGAACTAACATGATTAATGATAAATATATGATTAATATATGCCCTAAAAATTCCTACTTAATCAAAAATAGCGAAGCCAGAAACCCTCATAATAATAAAAATACTCCGTAACCCAAGCATAACTTGTATTTTATTGCACAAATTTATTAATTGATTTCAGATCTGCGAACATTTTACAAGCCTGCCAATCTTTTTATATTCTAAGAGTATAGCCTAACATAGTTACCATTAGTCTTAAAACAATTATTAATTCCCACAAAATTTTACACGTTGTGAAAGAAAAGAACAAATTTACTTAAATAGACGACACAAGTATTTGCCAGATACCTTATAAGGTAACTCCGTTTTAATAGCTTAAAAATAAGACATTTTTTAATAATGTCTTTGAATGGAAAGCGAAATGATAAATTATAAAATATTCGAGATGCTTATTAAACATATATTTCTGTATTGAAGAAAAGAAAAAATTATTTTTCCGAAATGCTTACTACTATGTTACCTCTGAAATTGCGGGCAAAAAGCTCTGGATGCACTAAAGTTGTTATACCGTTTAGAACGTTTCAAAGTATACAGCAATGAAATAGAACGGAGGCTTGCGATCACGAAAAGTTATTCGTTCTTCTATCTTATATATAACGTGCAAGCAATATCTAGCACGTGTTTGCAACGTTAGTTATAGCGCTAGCTTTTAACTTTATTCTACTCTTTGAGATAAATTTTCTTGAGGAATAACACTGCTGTGTATTATTAAAAAAAAAGCAATTTTTTTTTTTTTGTTTTGATTTCTCAAACAGTTAACAGATTGTCATAAAAAGGACAATTGAAAGTATGAAACAAGTTTTCAAACATAATTACATATAAGAAGATAGGGGCAAGCAAAACGTCAAATGCGGACGTCAACTTGAAGGACGATATCTCGAAACGACAAGCAACCGAGCTCGAGCCATTTTCACCATTTCCATTCGAATTGTGTTAAGTGACTTTAAAGCAGCACTCTCATGCGAAACTGGCTTCAATGCTACCATTTTTTAATGTTTTCCATAAACAATTATTTTTCTTTAATAATTTTCGTCAATAGTCACTCAACAACCTTGGATCGCAATTGTTAAGGAAAATTCTTTTTGAACTTTTACAGGAAATCTAGTCTATGGTAAATAAACTAATCCAGGTATAAATTTCATTAAGAATTAACTTTTTAATCTCTTCTTTAATTCTATAAAACCAATGGAAGAAACGTAATTCTAGCGTTCAAAGTCCGTTGTTCCTTGAAATAAAAATAGGATGATTTTTTTCTGTTTTCGTAAACACACACATCATTATCAATTCTTATCAATGCAAATGCATGCGCCACTATTGGTATTTTATCACCTTTAGGCTTCTTAGATGGTTCTAAAATGCAACAATTAATTATTAAGGTTTTGTTTAAGTACTTGAAGAGAAAACACATAAGAAAATAAATACATAATTAATTGATGGCAATAAATGTCAAAGCTAATCTAACTTTTTAGCTGTTGTGATCTTTCTGTTTCTCCGATACTCTTTTGTTCCACTTCTAATTCTTCTAACATATTCATAAGCTGCTCATCTGTTAGCATAGATTTTTGATATGCGATTGGGTTATCAATTTTTGTTTCAGTCTCAACATTCTCGCCGGTGATTTCAGCAAGTTCACGTTCCAAATCATTGTCATCATATGAATTGGACACATTGGGATTCGTATCAGCAAGTATATCTCCGATTTCCTTATGTGTTTCAATTGTTTCATTGACATCAGCAACAATATCTCTTACAATCTCATTATTCAAATTTAAAGTATCAAAAATATTTTGCAAAGCCTTCGATCCGCTTTTGTAAGCATCTAGGATAATGTCGTTCTGCTTTGCTTCTTCAATACTTAATAAAAGCGTCTCAATATTCAGTAAAGCGGAACTCTGCTTTTTATGGCTATTTTCCAGTAAATGTTTTTTTTGAAGTAAAAGTTTTGCCATTTGTCGTTTGTTTTCCTTAAGATATTGATGAATGTTCAAATTGATCTCTTCAATTTTTACTTCAATATCCCGCAATTGTTCCATTAAGTTCATTCGTACAGCTTCCATCTTATGTATAACTATATCGTTTTCGTTTATTTCGGTAACGGGTTCATTTTCCACAGGTACTTTAATCAGTTGTATACGATTTTCATTGTCCCCCAATTTATATGACAAACTGATTTTACGCTCGTAGTGCAACTTTTGAGCGCACATTTTAATGCAACTTTCGGAAATGGTCATAACCCTTAAAACTTCTTCAATAAGTACTTCATAAGGTTGTACTGTTCCTTTGAATGGAGATTTTTGCAATAGTTCATACACTTGCATACAAAATTTCGTTAAGACATCCATATGAACGTATTCAGTTCGATGGGCATCGGCAATCATTTCATTAGCGTTGAGCCAAAATTTTAATAATCTGTAAACCCGTAGAAATGGCCCCTTTACAAAATTGTTAAGGGCCCATTCAGTCCAGTTGGAATTTATATTTAATTTGTAATCTTCACTGGCACAAATAATCTTCAATTGCAGCATATTTGATAAAACTGTGTCCAAACAAGCAGGCACACGGCCATTTCTCGTAAAACGAATTTTCAATTCTTCTTTATTAAAATTGGCATCGCCTTTATACTCACAATAATCTTGGATTTGATGTGTCCAGAATTGTAATTTAGCATCATAACTTTCTGGATTAACCGTCCGCTCTCTAAAGGCCGATAAAAGGAATTCCATGCGCATATTATCGTGCCAACAGGCTGGATATGGAAAATTGTCGTCGAACTTATTAGCGACCTTTTCATTTCGTCCGCATACATTCATCATTTTTCGATTTGTGAAATATGCCCTCGTCTAGGAACTTTCGTTATAAAAGTGTAAAGTAAAATTTTTTCTTTGTTTACACCGGATTTAGAAGAAATTTTCTTAATAAAATTTTTAAATATAATAAGTTGAAGTAAGAGTTGTATGAGATTGTTTGCTCCGCTGTCCAACACTGTCTTTCATGAAAATATACACTTTCAGCAGTATTGATATTATTTTGCCTAGCAGCAACAGTAGCCTCTAATGCAAGCAAAGTGGCATCCTGTCTACCTATGCCATGGTGTATGATGTTGTTGTAGGCAACATTTAATTTTCGTTTGTTTTACGGCAGCAAACATACAAAAGCATAGAACTTATAGCCTTCGAACACCATTATATAAGCTTTGGTAAATATAACTGGAATTTTTTATAACTAATTTTCTGGTTGGACCGTGGCTTTCGAAGCGTGAAATAAGTTTTCTTAACAACATAACGTGTATGGTTTTCCCATGTAAGTGTGTTATTGCAATAAAATATGATACATACCAAGTTTTTATTGCGTCGGTCGGTATCTGATCAATAACACAATTGCTGAAAAGACATAATAGGTTTATATAGAAAAGAGATACATGATAAAAAAAATACATCTCAGTACTGTTCGCTCTGAAAAATTCGATATTGTTGATGCACCTCGCCTTGCACGGTCAACCATCAAAAAAATAATGGGTTTTTATTATAAGTGAATCATGACAGAGCGTGTAAACATTCGCGACATATCCGAATATCTAAACAACTATCTAAAACGTCAATAAAGGTTAGACCTTCAGACTTATGTAGACCGTACTTTCCTGTCAATCTCTCCTCCGCAGTCGCTGCTCAACGTTACGCTACCAAATAATAAAAGGCGACTAGCCTAAGACAAAACAATATGAGCAAGATCATCGTCGAAAAAGAAAAAAACCAAAAGGCTGTAATTCTTCCAGGGGTTCAACTACAACATCGATTTAAATGGAATCAATGTTTCTAAATGTGATCTCATTATGGAACATTGTCAACTATTGATATACGTCTTATATTCTTGTCCTGATATCTTATCTCTTTTTTAATTACATACTTTCTTAAATCCATTCTTGAATTGCTTAAAGTGCCATATATGGAAAACAAAATTGAAACTTGACCCACATTAGTGAACATTAGTGAATCAGCTTAGCAAATCCGGTTATTCATTAGACGTACATTTTGCTTATAAACCGTGAAACCATAATTATAACGAACATTATCGAGCTTTGAAATCAAATACTCGATACTAATAGTGGATACGGATCAAACTTGAATATGTCCTGATCTGCTCGTTTTGATTAAATTAACCTATATATTTTGAGAAAATCTACTTGATCGCCTCAACGGTAATGCAACTTTCTTAACATGTTCATGTACATAAATAAATGTACTAAATAATTTAGATGAATAATATAGTAAAGGGCAACGTGTTTGCTTTTCGTATGCGTATGTGTTCATGTCACGTCATATACCTTTTTGATGTTTTATGCAAATTTCCACACAATTAATAACACGTTAGGAAAAATGCACTAATCATCCAGTAATATAATATATATATGTAGTATATATATATATATATAAATATACAATATATTATATATATATATATATATATATATATATATATACAAGTGTACGTATGCCTACGTCTGCTGACAATGCAAACATCATCAAGATACTGTATATCACAAAATCTTTGCACATTAATGACAAATATCAAAAGCAAACATTTCAAGTATTTACTCATCTAAATATTATGACACTTTATTAGAAAATTACAATAAATTTTGCATAATGTGCCAAGTGAATGCTCTTGGTCCTCTGACATTCTAATTTCTAACAGATTATTATTTATGCCAATACGTGTTTCCAAAGATTATATCATCAAACGAATGATTAATAATAATAATAATAATAATAATGATAATATAACAATAATCCGTTTATTAATTGTTCATGTTAAACACTAAAACTTTCTTCACTAAGTATTAAGTAAGATATTACGTTTAGCGAAATCTTACGGAACTTAAATATCGATAACGTATAATTGTTCAAAAATGACTCGAAGTTACCTAACAAAGTGCTTTTGAAAATGATGCCCACTCGAACCACGATTAACACTCGCTTGCGAATTTTATTCTCGTGGCGATACTATTCTTTCAGTTAAATTTTCTTAAAATTATTCCACAAAATGGATCGTAGAATGTGTAATTAATCAGAACGCGTCTCATAAACATAACTTGATTATTTAGCATTTTTCACACTTACCTTATACGATATAATCGCGCATTCTTCAGTAATCTTCATTTAACCTCGGGTTAAATAAATAAAATCATATGCCGGTGCCGCAGAACACTGTACAACAATTCGCGATTACTCGTTTACCCTAATTCGCAGCGAAAATAAGACATAAACTGATCAGTAAAGGATTTCCGATAAAACCCTCGTTCGGCTTTAGTGTACAATAGAAAGAAATTAAATTCGAGATATTGACGAAGAAGTTTGTCGTTCTTTATTATTAGGTTCATTTCCGTTCATTTTGGTCATTTTTTTCAATTGAAAAACGTATTTATTGAGAAAAATTGGTACAATTATTATTAATCAAAATATTATTATATAAATCGTGTCGAAAGAATCGATATTGGCTTGATATCAATCCAATCGTCGACCCATTTCCGCATTTTTTCAATTTTGCGTAGTCACGTGCCAACACAGCCATGCTGTATCGATCTGAACAAGTGGTATTCAGAAAACGCCAGGTCTAGTGAGTATTATGGGTTAAGGACCTCCCATTCGAGCTGCAGAGCTGTAGCCAAGAAGGTATTTTCATTCAATTCGTATATGAGCCAATTTCTCTCCTTTTTCATCTTTCCCATCCTATGTAAAACAGTTAACCTATCAATTGCTAAGCTATTCGAATGTTCTTTGGAAACAGCTGGGGAAGTTGACAGCTGTACAGACAAGCGATCGGTAAAATGAAACGTGAGTCTATCTCAAGTCCTTTTTGGGTATTTCTTATGTATCCGCACGGTTTTATTATGTCGTAAGTGATGTAAGTTACAAAAAGCCAAAACCAACTTAAGGTTTAAAAATTTGAATTTTGTGGTCGTAGGCTAAGGCGATAATATTAAATACTGTCTTTGTTAATTTGCGGGGAGCTACGTATATAAACCTTTCCATTATCGAAATTAATCTAACGATATTAAAAGAAGTTAAGATACAATTCAACCGATTAGATAAAATTTTAAACGTCATATAATATGGTGTACATACAGACAATTAAAGGTGATTTACACCAACTTGTCCGTTAAGTATATATTTGAATTAATTCTACGATGTGTCCATATGAACTTTTCAAGTATTTAACATTTATTTCGTATTGTCTTAATTGTGAAAGTATAACAGTATTAAAATATTCTGAAAATTCTTAAACATTGCATGCATAGTGAGTATAATAGATTTGCGTTTATATCAAGTCATGCATATCTTACCTTAATTATGCATCGATATGTAAGAAAATCATCCATTATCGCCAACATTTCAATTCGGCATAATATTATGTTAATCCATTGTAACATGAACTAAATGTCAACTATCGGAAGATAACGTGTTTATATCCATACATACGTAAATAAATATGTAAACGCCATCTTAGTAGAAATTATATAACGAGATGATGCATTACTCGACTCAATATTACTCGCATGTATACATTTGTGTGTGTGTGTGTGTGTGTGTATATGTTTGTGGAAATTCTCTTATTTCAATGTGAAAACTTTGTATAACATTTGAAATCACATTTCCCTTTGACTTGCTGACTTGTTGTCTCACTCTTTGTCATTTTGTTTCTATATCTATCTTTCCGCTTCATACTCAACAGTATTATCTGGGAATTTACAGATTTCTTATTAACGTCATGAAACATCGCCTACTCGTTCATAGAATAAGTAAACGTTACACATTTATCTCTATCTTAAATTAAAAGCATAAAGGAAAGCAACGATTCTGGAATAAAGAATCCAGTCAATCCAATGTTTGTTGCTTTAAAATTCAGTTCAATTTTCCATTACTTCTTTAAGGTAAAATCGAGGACCACTCTACCTCTATATTATTATCTACGATATCGGCCGAATAAGACACTTTCCATAATTAGTATATGTATAGGGGGCAGAAATTAGTTAGATCCGTTTGCTAAACGAAAGTGTAAGTAGTATTGTCTCCGTCATGCATTACGATTAATTTGAATTGTTGTGATATAAAAAAATTTCATAAACTATTGCATATATGCATATACATATATATAAAGAAACTCATCAAATGTTGTGGAACAAAGTTTCGATTGAGTGAGGTATCCATTACAACAACAAACAAACAATAGGTCGTTTGTCACAAATCCCAACATATTTCATCATATACTCCTTTCCCGATATAAATGCTAATTATCTTCCTCACCTATTGAACTCTTGTCGGTGCTTTCATACTTTACGAACTGGACATTTCCACCATTTCAAACCATGAGAATCCCTTGTTGAAACTATACTCTATCCCTCATATTTTAAGCCTTTTAAAACAATCTACACTTTTAAACCATATTTAAATGAAGATAATGGTAATAATACAGACAGTTGGTCGCAGCCTAGTGGGTTTGTGTGCCCAGTCGGCAAGTGTTATGTCTTTACCAACTGAACATTCGCTATAGCCACGACCAAAGTAAACTTTACCGGCACAGTGCTTATCTACTCGGCTAATCTTGCGGGCTTCATTTTTCTACCCTGTACCGCTTGTGATACAAGGTATATTAAATTCGTGCGGACATCTGTAACACGCAGAAAAGCTTAAGATAGATCAACCTTTTATTATACCAATCGATTCAGAATCATCAACTGAAACAATCTAAGCCTGTCTATCCGTCTGATGTCTGTCTACGTAATTTTGTGCTCACGCATCAATTATTTTGATGCAAC